TATATATATATGCTCTTAGTTGCTGATTCAGCCTAATAAATGTTTTTGATTGAGTTCAAAAAAGATTCAACAACCAAGTATTTAAATCTTGCACTGATTATATTACTCCCTATGGTCCACAATAAGTGACCATTTTACCTTTGACACACCCATTAAGGAAATACGAACTCCTAGACGAAAAAAATGTATTCACTAAATTAACCTTAATTAATTATTACCTTGACACATTGGAATATGTAAATATATAAGGGCAAATTTTAAAAAAATAAAATTAATTTCTTTTTGATTACGTAAATGGACACTTATTTTGAACCAAAATAAAAAGATAAAATGGTCATTTATTGTGAACCGAAAGGAATATACTTTATACTGAATAAAAAAATCGAGTCATGAAACTGTGATGTAATAGGTTATTGATACATATAGGAAAAATAATAATGGTTAGAGCTCCTATATTTTGATTAGGGATGTCAATGAATATCTAAAAATCGACTAAACCGATCGAATTGTACTGCACCGAATCGATTTTTAGGTTTCTTTTAATAAAACCATAAGTTTTTATATAAATCTACAATCGTTCCGATAATTAGGGTAGGTTTTTGATTTTATGAAAATAAATCGAAAAAATACCGAACCGTACCGAATAAATTTACATATGAAAAATATATTTATATATTAAGTTTAAAAATAATAAAGTACTAAATTTTTCCTTGGATCTTGGAATTACGAAAATGATTATAAACCAACTAGTAATTAAGATCAAAATCCTAATTCCCATACCTATTATGCTACTCCTACTGAAATTAAATTATTTTCAGCATATTCACTAGCAAAATACAAAGTATTCTAACGATTATGAATAGCAACTACAATGTATTGAATATGTTTCCTTTCGTATGATTTAGATTTATCTTTTTGAATATTTAATTTTCTATAGACTATATTCTTGAGTTCCAACTTGGTTAATATCTTTTTACTTGTGTGATTTATCTTTTCTTTGTGTTTGCGTAATTTTTTTTACGCAGCGGTAGAGTAGTTGATGGATCTATACTCTGACCATCTTTCATGTTTTCATAATTCATTACAAATTAAACAGCAAAATTGTCTAGAGAGTTTTGCTAAGTCTTATAAAAGTATGCATGTTATTGTATTTTACTTTTATTAGTGATTTTTATATGACATTTAAAAAATACCGAAAATTAATCGAATTGTGTCAATACCGAAGAGAAACCGACATAATTAGGACGGTTTCAAAAGGTTTAATTTTAGTTATAAATAATAGAATAACCGAAAAATTGATATGATATATTATAAAAGAACCGGCCGAACCGAACTATTGACTCCCCTAATTTTGATGCATGCGCCATGCTCCAAAAGATTCTTATTCCACGTCTTGCCCTCCATCGTCGGCCACATATGGCCGCCACGCTTATGCACTGAGCCTTGCTTGTTGGCTTCGCGCGGCCTCGCGCGATTGCTAGCTAATAGCTTGTTCGGATGGTTGTTGTGTATTGTTTCGTAATGTATTATATAATATTATATTGTATTATACTATATCATTTTGATGTATATAATATTCAGGTAAATGTATTGCTTGTCGTCGTTTCATGATGTCATGCACCAACAATACGAAGAATAAATGTGCAATATTATAAAGAAAAGGTAAGATACGTGGTAGGTTTATTATATAAAAAGGTAGGACAAAAGATAAAATAGGATTATTTAATAATAAGGAAAGACAAGATGAGAAAAAAAAATAAGGTAACGACGCGACTGTACCAAATTGGTTGTTCTATAAAGTGACACTTTTCGTCGTTACGTAGTGACAAATTTAACGATACGATACAATAAAATTTAAGTAACAATGAAACAAATATTGTATTTAAAATAATAATACGATACAACCATTTAACAACCATCCAAACAAGTTGTAAAAGCTTTGGAGTTTAAACCCCAAAATAATAAGGATTGTGATAGTTAAAATGGGTTTCTTCGTTCTAAAATAGATATATCATGTTCGAGTTTTGGGAATTATAAACTTTTTGGTAGGTATTACCCTCCTAATAAACCTATCCGGCACATTCTATCTCTAATATACACAGTCCTTATGCTGATGCTGAAGGTTCCAAATTTGTTTTAAAACAATCAAATTTAATTATTTTCCTTTTTTTTACAACAAAACTTGTTTTTTTGTTTGTCTAGTTTTAAATATACAAATTTTATTTAGAAAGAGTAGTACCTTGCCTTAATTTTACTCCAGACAATGTTCAACTTAACTTTGAAGTTATATAACAAGACATTCGAATTACGACAAAAAACAAATGTTCATTTTTTCCTGATTCTGCGATGATTTCCTTGTCTCCACTATGTATGAATCAAGAAATAAAAAGAAAATACATTTTCGTATTAGAAATTGACTGTTTTTCTACTTTAAAATATTCAGCCATACGTGTGACTGACTTTTTCATCGAACTCCAGAATTCTCGTTCTACCTCCAAAAGAATACAAAGCACAAAATGCACAAAGTTGCAGTACATGAAAAAGCCTGGCAAATATTTCTTTTGCTTTGTTTTTCTTTTCTTAATTAGGTTCAGCTATCCGGTATTCAAAAATTCACAGGTCTAACTAATTAGAATTCACTCCGAAAAGATCCATTAAAAGGTAAAATACTCCTTATGACAAAAAGTTTTTTTTATTTTTCGGACTCAGCCCCGAGACTTTTTCTTAAGAATGGATGGATCTTAATCATCTCACCAGACCGCATGATTTATGTCGGGTTTCTTTTTTTATTTTTTTATTTACAACCATTAGCAGACAGAATCCAGATCCTTCTAAATGCAAAATTCACTACCAACGATTCAAGCTAAATGCCATCAATATCAGCAAAGTCAAAGATTAGGTAAATTATCTTTCTTAGTATATAATCTAAGGAATTTACATTATTATACTTCATAGTAGTGAAAATTCTTTTGATACACAAAATAAATCTTTTTAATTAATATAGTTGCCTGCTCATGAGATTGCTAACAAAATAGTATCTTGTCTTGCGATTTTACTAGACAATTAATGCACGTTAAACTTAACTTTGACTTTATATATAACAAGACATTTTAATTACGACAAAGAAAATTTGATTTTTCCCGATTCGGTGATGACTTCCTTGTCTAAACTATATATGTATGAGTTAAGAAATAAAAAAGCAAATATATTTTCGTACTAGAAATTGACTTTTTTCTAATTTAATATTCAGCCGTACGTGTGACTGACTTTTTCATCAAACTCCAGAATTTTCGTTTCTTAACATCCAAAAGAATACAAAAACAAAATAAGCAAAATAGCAGTTCACAAAAAAACTTGCATTCACATTGTTACATAACGACCGAAAAATTTGATGAGATGGTTGGAATTAGTTGAGTCTCGAGTTTGAGTATTGAAACCGAAATTTTTAAATTGGAAATACTTTATCTTTCTAGTGACTTTATTTAAAGCGAATGCAAATTAATCCGCTCTGGATACTAAATGGTTAAATCGAAAATAAAAGATTGTCACAAAAGGTTTAATTATGTGGACGTCCGTTCCCATTTTTCTACAACCATTGGCAGACAGAATCCAAATCTTCCTTAAATGCAAAATTCACAATAAACAATTCAAAAAAAATGCCTCAAAAACTTTCTTCTCAACAAAATCCACGATTAGGCAATATTCGTCCTTAATTAGTATCTAATAACGAATTTGCATTATTATATTTCCTTTTTATGGTGAAAATTTCTCTTGAATCTGACACTTCTCTTTCTCCTTTTTCCACATAGAGAAATAATTCCTTTATAAAGTTCCTCTCTAGGGAATATATAGGCACTGCAATACTTTATCGGGCAAAAGAAAGTTTCTCAAATTTTTAAATTTTTAAAGAGAATTTTGGTTTGTGAATATATAAAGAGTACCAATATATATGCGTGGTCTTACATACTTCATTTTCCTAATATCTCATAAGTTAAACCTCAACATTTGAACTAAATTTGTTTCCTACATATCCATCTTCTTCTTTTTTTCTCTATTCAATGCCTAAGAATTAGTCCTATATGATTAAAAGCTCAATTTCAAGAAGATACATTCTCATTGTGACAATTGTCATGAATTAGGAGGTTTTCCCTTGTTTTTCCCCATTATGGTTTTTTGTCTCTTATTTCCTTCCACACTTTCCTTCCCTTTTCCCCCTCTCCTAATTAGCCATATAAATACCTCTTGTGTACTCTTTGTCCCAACTCCCAACTCTTCTAATTCCTTCCTTATTTTTCTTGTTTAATTTGATCAAAACTTAGTTATACATATTTCTAAAGTTATGATGATTGAGTCTTGGAATCCTCCTCTCTTACATGATTACTCTAAGCTTTCGCGACAGAGCAGTCGTGACGATGGTGAGACAAACCACAGCGCGAAACTGGTGATGGAAGAGTACGAACTTCCGTTGATAGACCTTAGCGGTCTAAAAAGTAAAGATGAGAGACAAAAGATTAGTTGCGAAAACGCAATAGCCAAGGCTTCATCTGAATGGGGTTTTTTTCAAGTTGTGAACCATGGTGTGAGTCTTGACTTACTTAGGAAGATGAGGAGAGAACAAATGAAGTTATTTAAGGCATCTTTTCAAATGAAAGCTACTTGTGGGATTTTAAATAATTCTTATAGATGGGGAAATTCAACAGCTACTTGTCCTAAGCAATTTTCTTGGTCAGAAGCTTTTCATATCCCTATGACAAAGATTTCAGAAGCTGATTCTTATGGAGAGTTCACAACTTTAAGGTATTATCAAATTAGATAGAGATTAATTTTATCACCTCTCATTTAATTCTAGAAAAGAAAACGACGAATTCAAAATTTAGAGTTTCAAATTGGATTTGAAGCTAATTAAAACCTTGATAAGCTTAGGTAGTTTCACCTTGTCACATTCAAGTTTGGCATTTCTCTTTCTCCTTTTATTTTTTTCATCACTCTTTTACTAATTTGTTTAGTTCTTTTCCCCTCAAATATTTAGAAGAAATAGATTACTTATTTTAATTATTATTATTATTGTAAATATTCTTCATAAAAGTACACATGCACATGCAAACTATAAATATGTATAAGAGAGAGAAAAAGAGAATATTGTAGGAATATTATATAATATTAAAGGAAACTTTTATATATGAGCAATTTCTTTTCCCCTAAACCATTGTATGTTTTACACATTCACTTAATATTTTTTTTTTGGGGGGG